AAAGAAATGCATCACTTCAGATGGTTTGAAATTATATCAAGATATAGCCAATTACCTGAGACGTTGCCAGTTTTCAGTTTTTGTTTTTCAGGGGCTCACCTAGGACTTGCTTAGCATATTTTGTAAACTTGCATGTCCTATTACAGGGGACTTTAGCGTTTAAATCACCCAACCTTTGAGTCTTCTGTTTGGTCTAAACTAAGTATGAGAACTACATCAAATCTTTATTCACAGCACTTTGCAATGAAGATGTTTTCAGGACCATAGACAAAACCATTTGATTTCTGTTCCACGGTAAAGAACCTTATTGCTATTCTAAGGCGTATGCACATATGTCAGTTGAATAAGTGATTCTGTAAAGACAGCTGTTTAAAGTAGGAAAGCACGCAGCGAGGAACAGAGGTTCACAAATGCCTGCAAGGGAGGGAAAAGATTTAGCCCAAGAACGTCAACACTCCTCTGTTCGCTGGCACTGCTGACAAAGCTGAACGGTGAAGTTCTCATAGAATGTGGGGTTTTTGTTGTTGTTTTACAGAAAGAATGTACATCCCAACAAAATTAATATTGAGTTAATAAACACCACCAGCCCATACTGGTTTGAAGTAATAAAATGTATCGAGGGGTATTACTTCATTCAGCTTTCCAGCAACATCTTTTCTTCAGGAAATCTAGATTAAAAGTATCAACACTTCAAAACTTACTAATACTTCAGGGACACTAAAACGTGATGGCATTATATAGGCAAGCAAAAATGACTTTTTAATGCACCCCTCTTACCACCCAAGTTTCTCAAGTCCCCTAAAACCCACTAAAAGGCAACTTTTCAGCACTCCCATAGGGGACTAGATTTGAACCAAGTGGGAATGACTTCTAAAGCTAGAAACCTCACATTCAAACTGAGAGCAGGGTTTAAATAAGTTTTTCGTATTTCACTCTCCATAAAACCAGAAATGGTGTCCTCATCCTGAAGTATGCTTTGGGTTCCAGCTTCAACATCAGCGCTTTGAGCAGCCTAAGAAAGCCTCTTCCTTTGATACAAATACATAAGGAGGTCTTCCTTCAACCATCTTGAGGTACTGAAGACCTACTTTGCAGGTCTGCTCTCAGGACAAATTGCACTAAGCAGTATGCATGCATATGTGGAAGCTCTTTATTTTTCTAAAATTATGCATTTGGTAAGTTTACTTTCTAAAAGCTAAAATACCAGGGTGGAGTGCTGGCACTCTGGTCAGGCAATGAAAGTTTTGCCATCACTTCCAAACTAGGCCAGCAGAGGTAGAAATACAGTATCTTCACACAGACCCGCAGTTGCATTTACATTGCTGGGAGGGTATCCCACAAACACAGTAATTCCACATATACCCCACCAAAAGCTAACAAACCCCCCCCCCCCCCCCCCCAAACAGAAAGCAATAATCTGATTAGTTAAATATCTGGTAATATCTTTCAGGGATATTTTCTTTGGACCAAAGATATCTTTTGTGATTCCCTGCAACAGTCAGTGATGGACATCAAGTCTGCCTGTGAAGACAACAGACATTATTCTACAATCATGTAATGATGCTTTCAAGGGGAAAAACAAAACCACCACCAACAAAAAACTTCCTAACCACAAGACAGTGCCTCTTTTTACATCGTAGAAAAATTTCCTTTCTATACCTTTTTGGAATCTCAAATATGTAAGAAATTATCTTTTCAAACGTGGTAGCTGCCTTAATTTCCATAATGGTGTAAAAGACTGTACAAGCTCTTAATGCATGTTCATATGCAACCCCCAGCAAAAAGCCTAACTCGTGTTACTCAGCACAACATTCTCAACTAGTTTGGATGAAGAAACTCCAAGCTTAAGCCTTCATGTGGTTAAGAATGTGACTCTCGTAGCAACCTACTGCAAGCGCAGCTTTCTATTGCTTTACTGCCACCACACAGTTAATGTTGTTTTAAGCTGAAGCTACTCAGTACCTGGCGCTTCTGCAGACAGACTCCCACGTTCTAGTCAGGCATCTTAAACAAAATACATGCACATAGAAAAGGCAAACTTTCACCATTCATATTTGAAAATTCCACTGGGAAAAAAAAGTCAAAACTCACATTAATAGTACCAAACCACACTTAGGTCTTACTTATGTCTAACTGGTCACCTGCATTAACTATGGAATCTCTATAACCTTACATTGTTTAATCTTAACATTGAACTTTTAAAATACTAGAACAGTTACAATAGTGTGTGTGTATATGCATCTTCAGAAAGACGTCTAAAGAGGTTGGGACCGATGCAAGGTCTGTTAAGGCACCATAAAAATCCACGCTCAAGCAGCTTTTTTAATCAAGACTTGTTTGAAATACAGTACCTCAGAATTAAGTTAAAATGCCGGCTTTCTATTTTTAGGCTAGCCCTTTAGGGAAATACCTGGGGAAGTGAAGACAAAGAGGCATCTCAAAATATTAGAAAAAATCATCTTAATGTTTAAGAGGTATTGTGATCTAGGCTGTAGACACACAGTCACCTCTCAACACGTGCCAATACTGATTACAGTGCAAGAGAAAAACAGCCAATAATTTACGTCCCTTTGTAAGTTTAAGGAAAGCCACCTGGACAAGCCAAGCTTACAGGCAGTAAGCCTGGCTTATTGCCTTACGTATAAAAACTCTTTAGCTGCCAAGTCAGTCACATGGAGGGTACATAGTACTGAAGTAAATATTTAGTTTTTTCCACTTAGAAGTGTACTGTTCATCTAATAACCTCACAATATTACACCATGAAAACTGCTACCACCAGTTTACCAGACTTATTTCACATGCAGTATGAAATATGACAATGACTGTTTTTCTTCCTCTGTCAGTAAACGAAGGCTGGCTAGTGGGGGAGGGGGGTAATTATACATAGCTAATAATAAATGTTTCAAGTAAATATGCGTGTACTATTTCTGCCAAGTAATTTTTAGGCTACTGACTGTTAAACAAACAGTTTGTGTCACCAGGCTTTTTAAGCCTGGTTTGTGTAATTATTCCTGAGTCATTTGGGCTTCCTACCAAATCATCAATTAAGGGTAAAAAACCCCCATAAATCTGGCAACCCACAGTCAAAATATCCAAAGTCAGTGCTCTGCTAAGAAAACATATGGTATCTGCTCTTGCGCAGAGTCCTCTATAAGCTTCTAGCAGTAACAAGGGCATGTAACTTCTGTTGGTTGTGCCATCTAGTTTCTACATGAATCATGTTGCATATGCCTGGTGTTCACAGCTTTCCAAAGCAGCAGTGGCAAAAAAATTTAAGGCGGATGCAAATCCGGGTAGTAAAGTTGGGAGGTGGTTTTTGGTTACTTTCCTTCCACCACTCCTGGCTAAGGAAAATCCACTGGAGAAAAGTTTTACACCTTTCCACATGCAGCAGGACGGGATCACTTGGGTTACTACTTTAAGACTGACTTCCCACAGAAACTTGCTTTTGTTTCTCTCCCCCCTCTCCTTCCCTCCCAAAGCTTCTTCTACAGGTCCTGCCAGGCCTAGGTGAGAACGTTCACCCCGGCCACCCACTCAGAGAAAAAGCCGTTCTCCTTCAGATGCCCTATCCACAGCCAGGTTCCCTGGCTGTTTCTCCAACTAGGAATTTGAAGACGACAAGCTAAATTTGTGCAAAGGATATTTAGCAAACAACTTTACAGTCACTGTAGTGAAATGGGCACTAAAACACCTCTTCAGAGGAACACCAATTTCAGCTGCCACTAGCTAGGTATCACTCACCATCCTGAACTTAGGCCAACACCACAGAACTTCATTGTGGAAATACATATGACACTGCAAGTGAAAGAAATCAGGTCACTGAGAGCTACTGGGAAGGCAGCCAGTTTGAGGTCAGGGTTTATCATCATTCAGTTCTATGGGAGTGTCATGGGTCAAAAAAGCAAAAGAGCATCTTAGTTGCAGTGATGCCAGCAAATTAGTTTTCAAAAAAACTCACAAGATTAACATCGAGCAGATTAGACCATAGAAATACTGCTTTCTCATTTTTCCCAAATTAAGAAAAAGCTTTTAAACATCTGCTAAGGTTAAGAGTTGCAACAAATGCTAACTGAACAAGCTGAAGCTGTGTCCTCCTCTGCTTTAAGATGAGAACTCTTCTCCCTCTGCCTTTTCTTCAACCTATGTGCACAGCTTAAAGCAGAAAGAAATCATCTGCCAGTCTAAATGTGTGGTATATGGAATAACAGTTAAATGACAATACAAGAAGTCATTTATATCATCTTCAACATCAGACTTTACTAAGATATTCAATGAAAAGCAAAAGTATTGCTGGATATTTTTCTCTTATGTTACCATAAGTTTTGGTTTGGTTTTGGTTTTTTTTTGTTTTTTTTTTTTTTTTTTTTTAAGGCAAAATGAGCTAATGCATGCAATGAAAAAGAAATAGTATGCCTATTAGAAGATACCATATTGACCCAGCACAGACTCTGTCTTCCATTCTCCAATTAAGTTCTTAGCCACATTCTATGTAGATGAATGGAGAAGTCAGCAGCTAAAGGATTTCTCACCGAGTGGAAGGATTTCTCAGCACAGTAAGCTGCAGCAGTCTTTTCATCTGTACTTACAGCTTTGAAATTCGGGAGCTGCATTTTTTTCCATTTTAATATAGGAGCAGGAAGGCCTTGGTGCTTGGCAGCACATATCCCAGCAATGACAAGATGAATAAACAAATCAGAAAAGCCCCATCAATTCTTGTTTCCAAAGGGGAAAAAGAAAATATTATTCAGCCATTTCTGCCCAGCTAACAACTGGAACTGTCATTTAAAGCCTTTTACCTTAGGAAAAAGAACATATTGCCAAGCCTGCTACAGTTTGTTTTTTTTTTAAAGGCATTGTATCATGAGAACTTGAAGTACATTCATAAATATATCCTTGGCACGCTTTAATTGAAAAATATTTTAATATTATTACATAATTAGTCAAAGCTTAACTATTAGGTACAAGTAACTCACTAAATAAGTTACAGACACACCCACTTGAGCAACAATATCAGTGATATTTATTTAAAATACTTTTGCTGAGGAAATTTGTTTCATAAGAGATGGTTTTCAAACAAATCAGCAAGGTTATGAAAAATAAAACAGAGACAAACTCTCTGGGGAGAAAAAAAAGTTACAAAGAAAGCTTTTGCATATCAACAAAACCCCTCAGTCTTTTGATTTGCGGCCTGAGTCTCAGTCCCAACCTTTTCCGCCTAATGAACCCCACTATCCAGCTTTAGATCTGGTTTGTTCTTGTCATTCTTCACCGAGTAGATGAAATATGTTAAGGTGTCCTTTTCATTCACTGGAATTGTCCTAAAATGGCAGCCAATTATCTATGAAGGAAGAACACAAGGAAATTAAATTACCACTCTTACATGCAGAAACTGAAAATTCAGATTTCAATCAACTACATTAAAGTTTAAAAGATTGATCAAGAAGCTTAAAAAAAAAAGGCAAAAGCTACCTCTCTTCAAAAGTCTTTAATAGTCATAATAGTAATAGTCATAAAAAAGTAAATGGGAATCATTTTACTGAGAACTAAATATACTTTCCAAAGTAAAAAGCCCAGAAATTTTTCAGGGGAAGGAGGAAAAAAAAAAAAAAAAAGAGTTCTCAAAACGAGCATAGGAGTATCATTACATTTGTATAGTTAAAACTTGACTATAAAGCAAGTAATGACTATAGAATATCAGAGCTCCAGTACAGAAGTGAGGCTACTGCTCATCACTCAGGTGGGGGGAAGAGCATGTGTCTATCAATTAATGTATGGAAACATCTAAGACAATACAAGAATCTTTGAGAATTATAATCAAACATTCAGCTCTTCAAAACAGAGCAATCAATTAAAATTCACCACGCTGTAACCACTAAAATATGATAATCTCTAAAGAGTTCTCGAATCACTTTTGTCATTCCAGAAGTCTCTCCCTTCATCAAAATGAACACCAGCTTTAAAAGAAAGCACTCAAAAATATTATACCTACCCAAGACTATTCTCTGGCTTTTTGCAGAATACTTTGGTAGGTTAAAATTAGCAAGAGGAAGTGAGAAAAATGGGACTGCTCATTTAATTACCACTATAAATGTTTAGCATAATTAGCAAGTTAGAAAGCTTTCTAAACCCCACCCCCAAAAAAATTCACAGAGAAACAGTTTGACAAAGTCCTTTAAAGTAGACTTCTAAGTAACAGCTAGAGGAGCGTCTATTGTACATTAGGACAGGTTACAAGGAACCACACGCGCTGTAAACTAAGGAAGTTCTGCTGCTATGGCTCACAAATACCTGCAGGTCAAACAAAGCACGTGACAGAAGCTTTGCCTATTCACATCAAGCAGCGTAAGAAGCATACGCTAGCGCAAATGTACATGAGATGTACCTAAAGCAGACCCTTAGAAAGGCTACTTTTGCAGAACAAAAACTGCTTGTGCTTTTTCAAATCACAGTCCTGCTAATTCAAGAGCTAGCTGTACCTGAGCTCACATATGAGAAAACAGAAGACCGATTTTAAATTCTTACTCATAGTGGCAGCAGCACTATTCTTTTACAGCTTGGCCTTGAGATTTCCCACACATTTAAGGACCTTGCCTTTAATCCACACAGATTAAGGGAGAGACCAACAAAATGTCTGCACCAAAGTACAAATGAGTGTATCGCTGCACAAAAGTGAAAAAACGGTTGCTCCATCTCCCTGCTAGGAGAAGATCACCAGTTCCCTCATGTATTTACATCAGCACGCTGTAACTGCATCTTTGCAGTGCAGGATTCCTTTAAAATTACTCACATGCAGCAAAGATGCTCGCATACAGCTGTACTCACACACAGCTTCAGCACTTTTAGAAATATTGATAAGAAAAAACCTAATTTCATAAAGTTCCATTTTTCTGATGACAGACCCCAGTGATTTTAATTAACGTAATTGTCAATAGAAGCCTGTTTTTCAGATTTCCATACTTTACATACACACAAACACCTATGTTTGTATTAACTAGCTTTTCAAAGCAAAGCCTGAACCTTGCTAGAACTTCACTGCCACCTCTCAGTTTCTAGTTCTTTTCAGCGGGCCACTTCAGGTGAAGGTGTGACTGATGCACGGACTATAAACCCATGATTCTGTGATATTCAGGGACACGCAGATCATCTTACTGTTCCAACTCAACATGTCGTGTTTTTAAGCAGCACACGCTGCTTTCGGAAGTTGAGAGTCCCTCCCCTGGAAAACTTTTGCTTTTGATTTACTTGGCTCAGGAGCTGCGGCCAATGAAGGAAGCTAGATAAGCAGTTCCCTTTTGTTCTCCTAAAACCCAGATTACATATGCTCTTTATGCAAGGATCGCATTGTATAGAAAACCACATGCCACAGCAAGTTGCATTTTCTATTACGGAACAAACACTCATACGTACTTCAACGAGCTGTGCTTTGTTAAGTCCCGGTCTGGTCTGTAGCTTGAAGTGTCTTTTGTACCTTCGAAGTGTGTTTACTTGTAACTGATATAAATCAACCTAGAAGAAAAGGGGGGGAAGGGGAGGAAAACAATCTAATGTAACTGAAAAGGATTCAGTCATTAATAGTTCGCCTCTCAAAAAGATTTTGGAATCTCACAGATACATAAATGTAAACCGTCAGCTCAGCAGACCTAATTTTGACAAAAAACAAACTCCACCCCACACCTTCCAGCAGAAAGGAAAACAGCCCAGCTTGGTTTAAGAGCATTTTATTGTTACCGAGCATGGCTCTGCCTCCCTTTAGCTGCGGACAATATTTGGAACTCATTATTGTACTTCAATCAGTTCTGCGTTTTTGTTTGTTCCCCAGTTCAAGCATAATAACACAAAGCCCAGTAACAACTTTCATATAACATCTGTGAAGATGCTGATTCAAAGGAGGCCCCCATATTGTGATTTCAGCCATCAAATTTTACAAAAGTTACATGCAAGATACAGCACATCTGCACCACGAGATAGTACGTATTAGAATCGGGAGAGAGTCTAGAGAACAAAGTTTTCTTGGCTTGAGGTGGGAGAAGAAAACAGCTGCTCTTGCTCTCCAAACATATCCCTGCTACATAAGCACAATGCAGGAGTTACGTGCACAGGCATAGTTGTCCAAAACTGTTTTTCAGCATGAGTTGACAGTTGAGAGAATTGCACAAAGTCCTCTTAGGGATACAAATACACAACTTTAACCCAGTACTCCCTCAGTTTTGAATCCCATGAACTCAGATCAACCATCACTTCTCCCAGCAACAGCTTACCCTCCCACCCTCCTTGACAATGTAAGAGAGCTTAATCAGATGACTGAGTGGGAAAGCAAGCTGAGAAAGCAGGCTGAATGAGAAATTCTCCTAGATCAGTTGCAATTACAGCAGCGTTCTCCAGACTCACTGCATTAAACACTGGTTAAGACATCCACTTCTGCTTTAAATTAACTTAGCGGCCTCAACTATAGAATATTTAAACAACAACAGTGCTACTGCGTACTTGGTAACCTTGCCAGACTTGATGTGATGCCACTTTGCATGATAGAGGCTGGCCATCCTTTGGTATTCCAAAGTTTACACAGCACAAATTCCACTTCCCAAGTCACAGTGGGGAACCCACACACTAGAACATCACACAGAGGAGTAGCAGCAGCTTTCCACCAAGTCCCAGAAGCTACCAGTACTGCAGAAGCCTCTTCCCCTCCCGTAGGAATCGCTTCTGACAGGTAGTGATGGTCATGACTGAGATGGAAACGGGAGGGCCTTACAAGTCTTCAGAAGAATGCTACTTTTTTTTTCCTTAGTAAACTGGATAGCAATTGAAAATAATGAAGGTCAAGGGCCAGTGGGCATCCAAGGCATACAGTAATCACATGGGATGAACATACTGCCATTGTCCAAATGGCCAGCTGGAGCTTCTCAAAAATACTTCCCAGGCAGTTTTCTTTCCTGCAGTAGTACCATTAAAAAAAGCTTGTTTTCTTGTTCTAGAGATATCCATCAGTTGTGACATGTTTTATAATTCTTGCATGAGAAAACAAAACAGGCTTGCAGGAGAGCTGCAATTACCACTGTGCCAGAGAACTACCTGAAGTCACGCAGAACATTAGCTTTAGACAGAACTTTCAAAGAAGCAATCCCACATACTTAACAGACAACCAACACAGCCCAGCATCAAACTACTCCCAATCCCCTAAAATCCTCTTAGCCAGAGCCTTCAGACTGGAGCCACGTGCCTTTAGGCAAGGCTTCTTGCGCAAAGTTTCATCACTTATGCTGCTGCTATCTGCAGATGCTGACCATAAGGATGCCATTAAATTAACACTTACGGAGCAATTTCTGAAGAATGCTTTAAAAAAATCCCTCTTAGAAGGGACCAAGTAGGCATGACAGCCTCTGCTCAAAATTAACACACTGAAGAGCACCTGCTACGCCAGGCTGTAGCAAAAATAATACAGAGCATATGTAGGAAAAGGAGCCTTAGGTACAGTCTCTCTATACTATGCAAAAATTTGAAGGCTGCAGTTCACTTTTATAATGGGTGAGGTTTCACTGTTCTGCAATGGAGAAAACAGGTCGGAAAAGCACCATCCTTCTCCACTCCCTTCTAGCACAGCTCCCTAAACGTCTCTTTCTCCAACAAGGGGTAAAAACAAAGAGCTACCATCAAACTTTCCTAGTTAGACTAAGGCAGCGGAATAACTGCAAGAGCCAATCTGCAACACAATTAGCAGAGAAGGAAAGGATCGGAGGGATGGGGCAGTGAAGCATTTATATCCCAAGCCCTATGTGCAATTCCCTGCAGCAGACAGAGTTTGCTGATATGTGGCAAAGCACCGCTCTGGAAAGGAAGCACGAAGGAAAAAGTTGAAAATAGTGATTTTCTAAGAGAACTAGCAGGCACTTAAAAATAATGTAGAGAATCTTGTTCATTCTGCTCTGCACAATTAATGCAGAAAATACACCACAAAATTCAGTTAGCTTTTGTTATATTAAGGTGTGAATCAGGTCCCTTCCCTTACCCGCATGCCCCAAAATAAGGAGAGCTGCAAGGGTGCAAAAGCGGTATCGGTGCAGGCTCGGTAGTTGTTAAGAACAAGCTTAACACAACAATTAAAAAAACCCCAACTATTTAGCTACCTCTGGAGTGTCGATGTCTTGCACTGGTGAGTCACCATCATCATCGCTGCCTTTCCTCTTTCTTCTGTTCCTCACACTCTGAATTAAGTTTTTGTGGAAGTCACAAATGTACAGATGTCTTGCCTAGAAGAACAATACTGTGTCTTTCAACCAAATCCATGTAAGTATCTCCCAGACTTATGATACAAATGTACATACAGAGACAACCCTCCAGCAACCACAGTCACATTAACTGAGTTCAGGAAGCTTTCCTACTGGATTCTTCTAAATAAAGAATGTGTTATGCTACAGATCACCGACACCAGCTCGGCCCAGAGGACACCGGAGTGCTGCCACCGACTCATTCAGTAGTAACAGGCTGCAGAGACACAGGAGTACAACCCTCCCTCCGGCCACTCATCGCAACTCGGGGATCGGGGAGCAAACAAACAAAAACCAAGCTTTCAGTTGTTCTCCGCAGGGCAAAAAGCCGGCTCTCGCTTCCCATCTATATCCCCCCCTTCTTGTTCTACTTCCACTACCTAGGCGAGGTCAAGCAACACGCTTTTTTTCCTTTCCAAGTTTCCCTTTGTACGGATCTGCACGCTTTGGGAGAACTCTTAGGCGCGTACCAACCCCGATTTTCAGAGTTGCGTGCTTTAATGGCAATGGAAGCACGGAGCTGCGTTTAGGGACCACGCCTGCAGGGCGAGGAACCCCCGGGCCGGGGTAGGGGGTTGGGGGGGGACCCTCGGGGCGCACGAAGCTCCGGCCGAGGCGCGGAGCAGTCACGCCGGCTGCCGCGCATTTTAAGCCGCTTTGCCCCGGCTCCGGG